CTGCAAGCGAGTTACCATCTGGAAATGTACTATAAAGTCTTATGAAGGTTTTAAATAAACTTTTTTATTCAAGCTTGAATTTAATAGAGCACACAATATGTGCATACAATAAAAATTCCGCAACCTGTGAGTAATAAAAGAATATAAAATTGAATTTATAATTTAAAAAAAGGATCGTAGCCGGAGAATACACCAACTTGGCTTAACTAAGGTGGCTCAAACTTTAACGGTGCGTTTTAATTTCGGATAGCAAGTGGCTAATGCCGGAAAACTAAATGGCAGAGCTAGGCAACAGAAAGAACATCGTTGTCAAAAGCTTTGTATCTAAAACATTCAAAACCCCAGCCTTATACAGACATAAATCATTTACTTCGTGGTGGGGACTAACGAAGGGAGAAATTATAGTACAGATCTAAGCCATAAAAATGAGCTAATTAACAAAAAAATATGTTATAAATGAGGTGCAGGAAGTATAAGTGCTGTGAGGTGATGATGCAATCGTAACATAGGCAGGATGAAAAGACATTGATGTGCTGACTTCAAAGTTACAGATGGGTGCGCAAACGATATTCATTAGTATTGCAAAGCTGTTGTTAAAGTAAATTTAATGGGTTAACGCTTTATTAAGTTAGTGTGTGTAATATTTTATTCCCGCAAATTATTACATTGAAAATTATCGATACTTATATTTTGCTCAGTTCATGATTCGATTTAAAACAGCTTTGCAGCATTAAGCCATTTATCTTCTAAAAGAATTGAATGATACAAAGTTTAAACTGAAAATTACGTTAGGAAGAGCTTAATATTTGATTTATATTTATATTATTATAAATGCATGAAATCTAAATATATTAAGGTGAACAAAATATGTTAGTACATCTTTAACATAAGTGATGATGATAACATTTATGATTTATCTTCTGAGACAGGCCAGCTGTCTCCAAACCCCTTCGATTACTTACTATTTCAGAACCTTTGAAGCAGCTGCCCGGGTGAGTAAAAATTCGGCAGAGAAAAAACTGCTGTAGGATATGATTTCGCCAAATCGTCACTTAACATTAAAAATTAAACTTCACATTTCTTCTTCACAGAAACAATTTATCTTGAATAATGATAGAACCAATAATAAAAGTAACTTTTTTCCTTAATTTGTTTTTCAGTGGGATGGCACTAAAAACAAATGTGTCTTTTTTCAAATTATAATAATTCCTAAAAAGAAAGAAAATAAGAAAGTTATAGAAGTAATGTTAAACAAGATAAATAGTAAAAATATATATTTTTTGCTCAAATCGTCAAGAGGAACGAAACGTATTTTCAGCACTTTTCGATGCTTCTTAATTGTTTAGGTTTTAATGCTTTAAATTATTACCCCAACAAGTCGATTCGAAGCACTAAAAGATTAATAATTAATATGTATAATTCATAATATAAATTTAAAACATTAAGTATATTTTTACTAACTCAACTTGCTTAACACTCCGGTCTAAAATTTAATAGAATCTCGATGTTTTCTTTATCCTAAATTTCTAATTAAATGTTTCTTAAATTTTTTTTCTAAAGCAGTATAATATTTTCTTCTCATTTTTAAAACATTAATCGTTTGTTCAGTACATATTCAGTTCAGTACTTTTGTTTTACAAAATTAATATTTCGCTCAGTACAAATTGATCTTTTGTTCAGTTCAATTAATCTTTTGTTCAGTACATTTTTCTAGAGTTCAGCTGTGCATACTCAATAAAGCCCCATACATGCACTTTAGAGAAAATAATCAAATTAAAAAAACTAACAAAATTCATATATGCTGGTCCAATTTAGATTTTTGTGCTTGCATATGTTTTATCTAGCATCAAAAATTAATTTCTAAAACGATATAATCATTTTAGAAATTCAGTGATTTCCATTAATACGATTTTTTTATAAATATATAAGAAGTTTGATTAGTGAGAACTAGTTTTAAGTTTTTTTTTAATTTCATCCAACCTGCTTAAGTTAGTAAACTTAGTTCTTCGTTAATTGTTTTAATATCATTTTTATAATGATACTTTTAATTTTTTTTGGTTTTCATTTCTTGAATGAGAACTGTTGCTTTTCAGTTTTTCAGAACTGTTGGTTTAAAACTTAGAATATGAATCTTAAAATATGGTTCAAAGAATCTAAAGAAAGTTTTCCAGAGGGATTTATGATTGCTGCTGGGCTTTCATATAATAACGAATAAAATTAAAAAGAGCGCATAAAAACTGTTAAAATCAACTCCACATATTATTAGGAACATATTTTATACCCAGTTTTCAAATATGAAATACCTTCTCATTACCCACAGTGCTCTCAATCACTACAGCTGCATCAAGACAAAGCAAGCAGCCGCATGTCAAAATCCACTGTTAATTTCCTAGAAAAAAGTGGAACAAGAAACGTGTATCAAGGCCATACCCTTCATTCATATCCCTATTAAATCTCCTGATAATCCACGGATTTTTGCGCTTTTAGACTTTTTTTAAAGCGGATTGTCCAGACGTCGCCCTGTAACGGACTTTGGAAAGCTGCTCAAGAGGAATAGGATAAAATACCTCTTTGCTACTAAAAAAAGCTTTATTGTTTTGGAAATTACGGTGTAGAAAGATAATAAAGGATAAGGATTATCAAACAGGATATTTTAAATAGAAAGGTTTTTAGGTAAAATATTTCTGTAAATACAATGAAAGTCGTCTAAAAAATGTGCGAACAGCCTTAGTAGTTTAGCCTAAGGTAACTTCTGGATTTCGTTTTTCTATACTGAATCTTTAAAGGCAGTGGGAAACCTCTGACATATCTACAGACAAAATATCTCTCTATGTAAATGAAAGAATTTCTGTTAAATAACCATTGCATAATTGCCATTAAAATTACAGGGCATAGCAAATATACAGTACAGTTTTTTTCTGTTTATCATAAGAAATTTATTAGGGTCTGGAGATATATAAAATAAAAAATAAAGCATTATTCTGTTTTATGATTTTCATTATTCTATTTTATGTTTTATGATTATGTTTATGTTTTATGATTATGTTTATGTTTTATGATTATGTTTATGTTTTATAATTATATTTATGTTTTATGATTTATGATTAATGTTAAAAAAGGAATGATCATTTAACACAAAATGGTTATTTTGTGTTAAATGGTTATTTTGTGTTAATGATCATTCTTTTTTTTAACAAGTATATTAATGTGAATTTTAATTTGAATATCTTGTGAATGTATTCATAGAAGTAAATTTCATTTTTACAAAATCTAAACAGTTGAAACGGGTTTAAAAATTAATTAAATTAATTAAACACTATCAGGCATTGCTTGCCAATTATTATTTCGAATCAAAATAAAAATTTGCCCATTTTAACAAATATCTGATCGGCACGGTTTCCTATATTCAGTACCAAAATCTCCTGTGTCCGTATCGTTTGTAGTCATGCACTGAAACATTTTGTTTGAAAACGAACAACGAAAAATAATTATATTTAACCACTTTTTAAAATTGCTGCACATTTCTTAGGTCATTTGGTAAACGATGTTATTCTTCTCACACGTGACTTGAGAAAATGTTTTGCATTTTCTGAAATCAGTAGTAAATTCAAAGCGTAGTCTCGCAAAATAAACAATGATTCACAAACGAAATTGGATTCTGAGAATAAAAATTTAAATATTAGAAAATATCTTAGACCATTAAATAAAATTTTAAAAAATTATTGCCAATATCAAGCTTAAAAAATGTGCGACTAAAAAGTTTACTATCCTTGTGATGAATTTAGCTACTGATAGTGTCTCCCCCACCAAATATTAAATTAATCAGTTAGTCCAAAGCAGTTTGTATTAGACCATTTTGTAATGATTTTTATTACCAACTTTTAATGAATTAAACGACAATGTTGCTGAAATACGGTTGTCAACTAATTTCACTCTCTTAAATTGTTCTTATTTAGGTATTTCTTATTTTTATTCTCGCCTTTACAGTTTTATTAATTAAAGGTTAAGGTGTATTTTAAGATGATGCTCTAGAAATAGCTATCAAGAATTGTTAAAGAAAAGATATCGTATGTTTAAAAACAAATCCAGTAATTACAATAATTTAATAATTTTAAATAATATATAATTTTAATGTTATTTATTATGATGATTATGAATTTTTTTTATATTTAAAATAAAAATTTTTTAATCGGTAATTAATACATCTAAGTTCTGCTTTAAATAAACAAATATAGAATAATTTATTAAGCGTCAAAATTTATTTTAAAGAGAAAAAACTACATCTTTTCTGAGTAAAAAAAGGCAAAAAAATTAAAATATTAATTCACTGGCATTGTGACAGCATTTTTGTTTATTTCTGTTATATAGACGAATAAAAATTTATTTTGTTTACGTAATATTTTTTAAATCAGTGTGCAGTTTCACAAATGCATTAACTTTAGCAAAAAAAAAAAAAAATACAAACTATTAAAACACAAATTATTATTTCTAATTTGGAGCTAATTTCCCAATAAAAGTTCAGAGAACAAACCTGTATTTTAATTCTTCAAAATAAATTTATTGCCATTTAATGTCAAACATTTAGCAGCTGAGACTTAAAATTTATTCAGAGGATTTACGAAAATAAAATGAAATATTTCCTTGTAGAAGAAATAAAAACTTTAATCATAAAAGGTATAATATTGAATCAAGTTTATATGAATGTATTTATATAAAATTGACTGTGACGTATGTTATACGATATTCTTTCACCTACCTTTGTTTGTGGAACTTCAACACCATCCACTGTACACAGCTGGTACACTATGTTTGCAACAGATAACACATACCTTTTGTATTACTGATTACCTACCTTTATGAATAGAGGAATATTTCTTATTAACACTCAAAAATTTCATACAATTTTCAACATTCTTACGTACTTAGTTACTTATTGCTGTGACCGAAGACAGTAAATATATATCTCAAAATTTTCCTCAAAAATCCAAAAATAAAACATATTTCTAGCTGCAATCATATATTTCTGTTTTATTTGTTTATTACTGACCGGGGTAATTTTCTGAAAAACTTATAATTATTCCATTAGTGATTAACTAACTATAAATGTGATTTGATTTAGGAAAAATATTGAAGCTCTAGTTTGTTGCTTTGTTTAGCATGATGAAAGCAATGGTAAGTTAAGAAATTGAGATATTAAAAAAGATCTATAGAAATTATAACTTTGTACCACATTACACTAGACCACAAGGAAATCACAGCACAGAAATTTTGGAACCTTCTTCCAATCTAATCTCTTCGCGTCATTTAAGCGGTAGTTAAACAATCCAACCGGTGGCGCCTCCTTTACTCTGGGAACGATATCGCCGGGCAACCCACTCCGCATTGACGATACTCATCTGTGGAACTGCTGTCTACGCTGACTGGAAGAATATCAACCTCCTTCTCGATTCGAACTTTCAACCTCGTCGTGAAATTTGAACCCAAAGAACATTGTTCGTAGGTTTGTTTCTCTTTTTCCGCTATTCCCAGCTGATTGATGAGCGTGAGTTTCAGCTGCATCCGGCATGAACCAACAAGAACAGCAGCAACTCGCTACACCAGGAGTGCTGGTTGGGCCCTCTGGACCCGCAGTGGTCACTGGTCACTCTCTCGGGAACAGTGTCATCGTACAAGCGGCTTCCATAGCGGCCATCCAGTCTCTGGTCAACGGTGGAGGTGAGAATTTACTTCATTTATATTTGGCAGCATCCGTCAACAGGCATGGAAACTTGTCGTTAAGTGACAGGTGTTTATTCTGTCAAAGAAAAATAGAACAACTAATAAATAAAATTCAGTCACTTTTTTTAGTTAATTAGAAAATATAGATATAGGGGGGAACAGTAAGGGGATAGAAATCTCCTATGGGATATTTCCAGATATTATATTTATATTACAGGGTTTAGATGAATTTTGTATTTTGCGGGTTAAAGGAGCTCTTCGATTTTTCAGCTTAGAACTAACATATAAATTTAGATAAGTAAAATATTATGAATGATGAAGCTATAAAATGAACTTTGGAGCTAGCATCACTGTTAATTATGAAATACAAGGATACAAAATATATCGAATTCAAAATAAAAGAACATTTTCCTTTATTTATTTATTTATTTTTTAAGTTTGTTCTTTTAGCCATGAAATACTTGCATATGCTTTTCTAAAAATGTCGTAATATTTATATTAAAATATGAAGTTCAAAATGATGAACATGGAAATCTAAACAAAAGTAAATGTGGAAACAACGACATGATATTTGAAATATGAAAGGAAAAGGTAGAATCTTTAGTATTATTAACAAAGTATTGAAATTTTTATGAATAAACTTAAGGGATACCTAAGTTAAACTTTAAAATACTGCAGTTTAGGTATTAAATTCAGAAGAACAAATCATACTTTTTTAAAAACAGAATCTGTCAAGTTCGATACGTAAAAGATTGGATCTAAAACTAGCTATAAAACAGAACTTAAATTATCAACATTAAATTAAAAAACAAGATTTTTATGAACACTTACTAAGTATAACGTGTATTGTATAAACAAAAAATAATTTCTTACCATGATACGTTATGTAGATTTATTAGCATTTAAATATATAAATCTTTCTCTGAATGGGGGTTATTACTTCAAAAGAACTCATTTTCCACCGTCTAAACAACGTGTATGGTGGTTCACACACTGTCCGTAACTGCATTCTTTTACATATAGTTAAAATTAATGCATAAAATGTTAAAGTTGTAAAAATGTAAAATATAAACAAGAGGTAGAAGAGAAGTTTTACTGTATATATGCATAGTAACATATTGAAACAAGAAAGTTCTGAAATGGAAAGAAAAAACAAGAAACGGGATTATAGCATTTTAATAAATGTATCCATGTAACGAGATTTAAGAGTATAAATTTTTGGTACTAAAATAAAGAAATCTATAAAACACTCGAGAGATAATCATTTCTGTGAGGCCTTTCATCATAACTAGGGATAATTATTTATTGAGATGAGCTTAAGAATAATTATTAGTGTAATATTTCTTGACTGGTTTAGCAAACGTTTTGTTGTAGCTTTCGATTTAATATATATATTTAAACACTTATGTATAAGTATGCTTATTAAAAAGGTATTAGTTGAAAATTCGAGTCATGCAATTTTATGTCGGCAGTTTGATTGCAGGCTAGCTTTGTAAAAGTTCATCATTATTTGTATATTGAACTTTCTAAAAAACACAACTGTTAATTCACTTTAAATATACTATTTGATTATTTTATGCCTTCAGAAATACTTGAATCTTGTTTTCACTTTATAAATTATACAGACATTTGAATTCATATTTACACTTTAAGTATAACAATGTAGATGGTTGCATGTATATATATGTATATATATATATGTTATATATATATATGAATGGATAAGCATTACATGTAGACTTAAGTTAAATCTTGTGCCATCGCTGCCAAAATTATAATATGAATTTTAATTATTAATTTCAATTTGATTAATATATATATATATATATATAATATATATATAATTGAAAAAGAAAATGTAAAATATATATACTACATATTTCCCTTGACAAGTTCTGCTTGAAGCGTTTAACAGAGGAGATTAATAAAAAGTTATTTGTTTTTGTTTTGTATAATGTTCTATATTTTTTTAAATCAGTCAAAGATAACGTATTTGAAAGTTTCATTAAATTTACCTTTATTCAATTTGGTTATTCTCTAGCAGGAGAAGAAAGGGTAGACCTTTCTTCTAGAAGGAACAAAAATTTTCAGTTTCTTTCAGACATTTCCTTTTATATATATATATACATGTGTGTGTATATGTATACACATATTCAGTTTGATTAATATTTAGTAACAGGTATCGGGGAATAGTTTTTCTGCAGTAAGATGATTACAATTTTTACTTTAATCATAAATTCAGTTTGGCTCTTGGCTTTAAATCAAATAGAATAACGAACTGAATGTTCATTTTCTGTACTATTATAACTAGTTCTTGACTGTAATTTGATTCTTACTGGGAGAAACGACGAAACGGTCTTATAATAATTATTGTCAATTAATCTGGGATTGATTTTTTCCCTTTGAAAAGTCAATTAATTTCCGATTACTAACAGTATACTTCAAATTTCTGCGCTCATCTTACCTATTTTTTTCAATTTCGTTAATTTTTTTTTTTTTTTTTTTTTTTAATTTTCGCCGTTTGATTTTACTGCTAGCATCTTTCATCACAAGTGAATACTTATTAGCCTTTTATTTAGGAGATGATATCTATATACAAAACTCTTCTTATAAATAAAGCCCACCAGCGGCCGAGCGGTAAAGTCGCTGAACACTGGTAGTTCGGTCCGAGGTTCGAATCCCGCGAACGGGCTGGCTGCATAGGTGTTTTCGTGGTTTTCCCCATGTGTAACGTATATACGAGCCAGTTTCCCTTAGAAAGTCCTCCACGAAAGGCATCCCTCCCCTTAGGCAGATAGCCCTAGTGTGCTTTGCCATAATTAAATACACCAACACCAACTTCTTATAAATAAGATCCTATCTTATTCAATTTGATTGATAATGTTTCTAATTACAACTTTTTAAGTAGGCTTAAGACAGAAAGCTGTGACTTGAATATGAAATTGAATTGAATATGAAACAGAGGATTTAAATTTTATCTAAATTTAAAATATGAAGAGTAAGTTTCAAAATTTCATGTCTAAAACATCTAATTTTTTATATCTAAAGCAAGCTCAAACTAAAATTTCAAGCTATTTGCTTCCAGGTAAAGATTTCTTTTAAATGTATTTTGCGTTAGATATTTTGTTTACTAAAATGGAATTTAATTTTTTAGAAAATTCCATACTTGTGTATGCATATCAATTTGCAAGTTCCTCAGAGAGAGCTTAATTGCTGTATTACGTAACTTTTATTTCACATCTACCATTCTCTTGATAATACAACCTGAAATTAAATGTTTGATCTTTTTAAAACAGATTTTTAAATACCAGGTTTTCTGAAAAATAACGTTAATAACTTCACACACACAACATATATATATATATATATATATATATTAATAATAATTATTTTATTAATTAATAGACTAATATTTAATAAACAATCTCAGCTGACTGAATTGCATATAAATAAATATATTAATTTTTAAAAGTTGTTTCCATAATATTTATATTTCTTGATAATGATTCTTTTATGTATTTTAAGATACAAATAAATACGACATACAAATATATATATTTTTTGCGTTTTATCCTTTTAATTCTATTGCGCCTCTTAGGGAGATGCAGAATATGTTTAGTAAGTGAAAAAATAAAATATTACGTATATTAAGTGAGGATATTCCTAATGTACATTATGAAAAAATAAATAGGTCTCTATGAAATATTAAAAGTTTATTGCCAAAGGAGAAATATTACTCGTTCTTTTTCTCTTGTAACTGCAAAGCATTTTTATTAAATCAGAAATCAATTTACTTAGTATTCAATACATTTTTAAATATGCATAAATAATATGGATTATCCATATTAATGAATTATTTTAATAAATAATATACTAATATATCTTTAAAATATTGCATTTTAATTAATTTAATACCATATTTATTAATAAATTATTAAGATATAAATTACTTATAATAGTCACGAATTATTTAATGGTAATGATTATAACAAATTATTAAAATGCATTTAGAAGTATGTTCAATTTCTGAAAAACATTCCAGGGGAGAATTTTAATTTCATTAAATTATTAATTATTCAAAAATTTATTAGTGCTTGACTTCCAAAAATTAACCATTAATACACACTTATATACATACATATATATGAATATTTATGATGTCGAATTTCTTACCATTTGCGATTTGTATACGTTCTCAATTATCTAGTACTTACAGAATTCAATTTCCGCTTAGGCCTTCAAGGCTAGGCTTATGAGACCCTGAAATCTTCTATACTTCCTGATAATCCTAGTATTTGTTTACGCCAGGAAAGTAAGGTTCAGAGCCCCTCAAAGGACTCTGTATTTAGACCTCAGACTGGGTTTTAATCGAGCCCCGAGTTTACTGTTAAGTAAGAAGAAGAAAGCAGTTAAAGTTTTATCTTCAAAAAGAGTTTCAAATATTCGTTATCAGTAAGTAATGTTTGGTAAAGATCTAGCTATCTGTTAAACAAACTTTTGTTGTGATTATTACGCTAAAGTAATATACAGTATAGCGACAATGATTTCTGGAATTATTTTATATTAATTATTTCTGATTAATTTAAGTAAAGTGTTTTAAACCTTTTATTTACAATAAATTATTCAGTTTTAAGGAAACTGTTTGGTTTATTTTAAAACGATTATTTGCCGTTTCCCACTTAACTGGCTTAGGAAAAAGAATTTGATTTATTTTGATTGCTTTTACAGTTAATTCATTTTAAATTGGTATAATATTTAGCCTTGGCATTTATCTTACTCTGGTTTTGGTTTCGCTGTGAGGAAAGGAAGGTACATAAATATGTAACTCCCAGTGTTTGTTCCAGTGAGAACACAGCAACTGAAATTCTAAATTTTTATTTTATTAATTTATTCTCTCTTTCTCTTTTGGTGGTTGTTTTTGTCTATATCTGCTAGAACAGGTGTTCTCAACCGAGAACGGGATTACCTACTGGAGGGAATTTCATAGTTTCAGGGAGGGGCAATCCTTTCAGCCTTTTATTTATCCTGTTTAGTTTTAGTTATGAATATAAAAAAAAACTACTTTTAATAAAGTTTTGGTATTTCCTACACTTTTCCTTGTTTAATTTAAAAAATATGTTAAAAATAATATAAACTTAAATAAATGTATATGCATTTTTGAGTTTTTCATTTGAGTTCATTTTGAGTTTTGAAAGAAGAGGGATGATCGTCCAGCAGTGGTAAAAGTGTGCATGGGGCAAGAAAGGATTGAAACCTTGTGTGCTGTAGAATTTTTAATACTCACTAAAAATAAATTCAAATAAAGGTAGTGAATTCTAAATACTGAACCAAACCTGCAGTGAAAACTAAAGGGAACTTCGACTTCTGCAATCTCTTATATAGTTTTTTATAAACTGTGATGGCTGTAAGTGGGGGGTGGAAGAAAACTCGAGATTCTTTTATTTTTTTAATCAGTACGCTAATTAGGTGGATAGAGTGGCTATATTGTTATCATATTTAGCTTTCAAGGTTATCAAACCATTCACTATTGTAGCTCTTGTCTCAATAAAGCTATTTAAGTTGAAAATTGCAACATGCATAAGTTTTCTGCAATTCATCTATCATATGCCCGTTCGCAATAATAGTTTAATTTTAAATTTACTTGCATCCAAGAGATGTCGAACTGTACTGTAAACTAATGCATAAACCAGAAATATAAACAAAATATGAAAATAATATATACTTATGATGATAAGCATAAAAACTGACTTTCCTCTCAAATAAATTAATTTTAAAAGAAAATTAAATAATAAATAATTAGCATGATTTAATAAATAATCTGCAGGGCACTAAAATCTTCCTTTTTGACTGGAAGTCATTTATTAGTTTTAAAACGATGTTAGTGGTTTTTCTTGTATGTGTGTGATATGGAATAATAACTTTTGTCTAAGGATTTTATGAATGGAAGTTCGTTTCTCTAATAGTTATTCCAATTACATTTTATCTCTCAGTTCCATTTTAACTCAACACGTTTAGTCATTTAATATTAAAAATAAATTTAAACTTACATATGCTGCTACTTCCATGCTAAATACAGTGTTTCGTGCACCGTATGGAGTTTAAGACGCAAATAGGCCACCAGTGGCTGAGTGGAAAGACTACTGAGCACTGGCAATTCGACCAGGCTTCAAATCCAGGCGATTAGACTGGCTGATTTTTTTTCATGATTTTTCTCAGTGTGTAACGTGTAAACGAGTCAGTTTTCTTAAAAATCCTCCACAAAAATATTCGTCCTTTTAAGTAGACAGCCCTCCTATGCTTTACAGTCATCAATGAAACAAACGATAAGAAGAATATGGCAATGAAATTGAACGATTTTCAAGTGAACTGATTGTTTTAATTAAATTTTTGAGGAATTAGTTTTGTATGAGGTTTGATTACCAGCTCTCCATAATAATGTCCTATTTGTACAGCTGTTACATCCGCTTCTAGTTAGCATTTTAGAAATCTTTTTCTTTTAAAATTAGGCAATAATTGGTAAGAACTAATAATATATGACATATTTACGACAAAGAAATTACTATGAAGCTTATGTTTGTAATAAAGGCAAATCGTTCCCATTCTATAAACACAATATTAATTTTTATGCGATACGTTTCCATGTATTTTTGACTTAACTGTTTTAACATTAATATTCATCTTCAATTTGTCAAAACTGTAAAAGCTATTCGTTTTAATTTCGCATTTCATCTAGATATTTAGCATTATTAATAGTGCGTGAAATAGCAATAATAATAAGCGGCGAATTTCTCTTAGCATTCGACTTTCAAATACTTCCTCAGTAGAAGCTAAATGCTGTCTTTAACATCTTTGGAAAGTTTAATTCGCTCGTAGGAAAAGTATTATTTTGTATTCTAATTCTTCCACTGAAGTGCGGTCCATGGGGTCTAGATTGTTCCATGAGCATTGGTAGTTCGATTCAAGTTCGGCTCCCAGGTGAACAGGTTGGCTGCAAGATAAAAACTAAACTTTAATAGTTTCACATTTATGTATAAAATGATCATGTGTCAGTTTTCCTCGGGAAAGGTTGAATGCCTCCTTGTAAGGATCCTTAGTTTTACTAACGTTTATTTTATTTTAAAACTGTACTATCACTTCTTATTTTCTACTTCCGGCCAGAATTAAATGCTTTAACTTGTTTATACAAATTGTCTTGCTAACGCCCAAGTACTTAAGCTGTGGCTTTTTGCCAAGCGAGGGAGAGAGAAGGAGTTTTAAGAAGCAAGCCGCTTGCCACGACAGTTTTGCGAGTTTTCACTCGGTTGTTGGTTGCCTTTAAGGCCAGAGGTTTAGCCCTCTTGATATTTGCAAACGTATTGTAGTTTCAGCAGCTCGGCGTACTACATGCGTACCTTTTTTTAAATAAAGGCCAGTCTTAGTGCTAGGCATTTGTATACTAATTCAAAGTTAGCTTTTAGTTAGAGTTTTAGTTAGTAGTTTTATATTCTTACGTTCAGACGACAAGTGGTTGGTCTCTGTATTCCGAAGTTCGGAAGTGCCTGTAAAGTATTGAAAATAAAGGGTTTCGTATACTCTTCCTGTTTGTGTCGTCTGTCATACACAAATCTTGAACATAGCTTGAGTAAGCTTCCTGTTCTTATTCACGGCATTTCATGTTTCCAAAGCAAATCAAGAGAAACACAAGTCCTGGCATCCTTACGTAGGAAATTTCATAAATCAATTAACCAAAAGTATTTTAATTTCGAGTAATATTGCTTAATTTTTAAATGCAACATAGTATGTTTCTGATTTATCGTATTTCTCTTTGCGAGGTTTTTCTACAAATAGATATTTCCTTTGTAAAATACATCTTGGAAATTCTTGATTCATAAGAATATGAATGAACTAATAAGTGCAACAAATGTAAACTTAGGGCAAATATGGAGTGCCATAAAACTCAATTTTAGACGGTAAAACATGTAATTATTGGTGCCATGTTATTTTATTTGTGTATTTATTGATATAATATTCTGCGTTGCCTGAAATTTTATAATCGAATATTGAAGGAAATGCATAGCTTCTTATGTTCACAAGTAGTATAATCCTGTTTAGTTGTTTTTCCAACATACCTTTGACGTAATCTGTGGAAGAGACTATTTTATAGCGGTAAAACGAAGTAAAGGCTGGCAGTTGTGTACATTATTAACTACCGAAATGTGTAGACACGTTCTGCTTTGCTATGCTCTTCCGTTTTCTGGTGGATAAAAATGCAGCATGAAACACATGTATTCATTTTATAGAACCAAAAGTTAAATGCATTGTTATAGTTTTGTATGCATTTGCAACCTAACAATTGCGCATTTTCTTTTATATATTATTCAAATTTTGTAGCTTATATGGTCCGTAAAAGTTGCAGATAATTTTTGTTATAAAATAGCGATTGTACTTTGTTTTAAAGTAACTTCTATCTTAATCACAGGTACATTATTGCTTTTAAAAGCAATAGATATTTATTGTTTAGGTTAAAATTTTTACATAATGAAATATTCTGAAATTTCTACAATTTGTGGAAGTTGGAATTTCAGTAATTTGTTTAATTTTGAATTGAGTCTCCTTTCCTAAGTCTCTGTTGTACTTAGACATAGCAATAAGTCGTTTTATAACTAGGACATTAAGTCTTATAAATTTAACGTTTGAAGTTTCGAAGTACTTTGCGAAATTTATTTCTTGAAAAAGTGTTTGGTGTTTTCAAATAAAATTCAACCCCTACAGCTTTAAATCTCTTATGCTTTTCTCATCCTATATCCTTTTTTAGTATGACTGAATTCACATGAATCATATTTACTCCCTTTCACTGTTATTAGCTTGGACCATGAGTTAATGCTCAGTTAATATTCTGGCATTATAATGCATATTATTTTAAAGAATATTTGATTCTGATGAGACCTAATGCGATTGAGTACTTAAAATGTACAAGATATGATAACTTTGAATCGAACAAAAAAAACAAAAAAAAGGGGGAAATATATGTATGTACCCTTGTAATTCATAGACGATATTATTTGAATCATGATTCCCTTTCTTATATGATATATGACTAATAAACTAAATAGTGAGAAAATTTATAGTATCAAAAGAAGAAGACTTATCTCTTATCCTAAATGCTAAAAAAGTTCTCGGAAAATGCATGTCAGTTCTTTTTAAAATGTAAAGCATTATTACCTAGCTGTATTCGAAGCACCATCCTTCTGAAGATACATACATTTGCTCCAGCATCCCTGGAACCTTCGAGAGAACGCATATTTTGGTGGTGGTTATAGAACAAAAGTCACATAGTTTTGTATAGCTTGACTGAAAATGTTGATGCCACAGAGTAGGAATGAACAAAAACCG